ATCCTGGTACTCTGAGAATTAGTATCAGAGGTAGGAAGCTTCCTAGTCAAGACCCACTTGCTTTCTCCATGTCCTTTGACAGGTGAACGTGGTATCTTCAGCAATGGTGCCCCATCAAGTTCTGTCAGGCAACCGAGAGCAATGATAATAGTCTATATTGTTTTGGGTATTTCCGGAACATCTCCAACCACAAATTTGAGGGGAGGTGTCCCACACCTTAGCATTGGGCTTTTGATTTGGCATCCTGTGTCTCTGAGGTAAGCATGATCCCCAGAGTAGGGTAACACCACAGGAATAAACTTTTATTTAGGAGGCTTATAAAACTGTTCGCACTTACCCTCTGGGTAAGACACCTCTCCTCCAGCCCCTGCTCTGCCCTCCCCTCCCACGCCTGTGTGTTTCGATGGCATTGCCATGTTTGCAGAATACTAGCCAGTCACTGTGGAGGATCTCCTTGTAGTTGGTTTGTTTGGTGTTTGCTCCTGTGATTCTCAGGTTTTGTGCTTTGGTAGATGTGCCCCCCCCCACCCGGACAGTATGTCCTCACTGTATCACTCTGGAATCACATAGTGTCACCCTCCTAAGGTTGACTTTGATACCGTGGGTAAAGAGAGCTCCTCCCTCCCTCCCTCCCTCCCTCCCTCTCTCTCTCTCTCTCTCTCTCTCTCTCTCTCAGGGTTTCTCTGTGTTGCCCTGGCTGTCCTGGAACTCACTTTGTAGCTGAGGCTGGCCTTGAACTCACAGAGGCCCACCAGCCTTTTCCTCCCAAGTGCTGGGATTAAAGGTGTGTACCACCACCACCTGGCTCTCTTTTTAAAGTCAGTTATTTCCACCATTTTCAAATTAAAAAACAAGTTCATGGAGTAATCTTTTTTAGATTTTATTACTAGCCTATTATTTCTATGTCTATTTTTTTTCAAGTTTTATTTATTTAAAAACATTTTATTATGTTTGTTTGGGAGGAGAACTCATGCATGTGCAGGACCCATGTGGAGGCCAGAGGACAGCTTACAGGAGTGGTCGGTCCTCAGGCTGCAAGCCTTACGGTGTCAAGTGCTGTAGCCCACTGAGCCATGTGGCTGGCCTGCTAAGCTTTGTGGCTCATTGATGCTCATGGTCTGAGTCAGTTAGTCTCATGACAGCACCTTGTGGTTTTAAAGGTAAAGCTTTAAAAAGAATCACTAATTGGTCTTCTCCAAAGAAGTGCTTCCTGTCACAGATTTTCATATTTATGTCAGTTCAGACTTAGAAGGTTTTTATATTGGCTTTAATAAGTTGACATTTCTTCTTACACTCAAGGGCTCCACATTTGGCCAGTAGGTCGGTTGGAACTGGCTTCTGTGCCTTTGCCTTTGGTTTCTGAGATAGGATCTAGTGAGGTATCCCAGGATGGCCTTCTGTTGCTCTAACCTGGGATGCAGATGACACAGATGTGCATCCCCACACCTGGTCCCATGTCCTTCCTTTCCTGTGTGACATGCTTCTGTTGAATGCCTGTGCTACCCCTAGCCCGGGAAGCAGCTGTGTGAGTGCGGCACACATGTGTCCCAAGAGCTAGGCTACCCTCAGTCCAACGGCTGAGGAATAGTGTCACAGTGTGCTGTCAATCTGCATTTCTCTTACCATGTGTGAGGTTGAGAGTGTGCTCTTTGGTTTCAGTGTGGGTATGTGTGTTCACATTCATTTTAAGTATTTCTAGTCTGTTTTAGAATTGCTATTTAGGGGAAGGGAGGTCTTCCTAGATGTGCTAAACAATAATAATAATAAAAATATTATTATTGTTGTGCTTGTTTACAGTGTTTTTTATTTTGACCATGCTAAATTTCCTCTTCGTTTGACTGATGAATCATTTTGTTTGTTTGTTTGTTTGCTTGCTTGCTTTTGAGACAGGGTCTCAGTCTAGCCCTGGCTGGTCTGGATCTCCTGGATTGGTCTCAACTTCTGACAGTCCTCCTGCCTCAGTCTTCTGAGGACTGGGATGACAGGTGTGAGTCACAATACTGCCTTCTCAGATTGAAAGAATCTATATCTATAGTCAGACTGGTGAGTCTTGGTACTTACTGCCTCTGCGTCCTAGTGGAGCAGCCTGCCCCTGGCAGGGTTAAGAACACGCCAGTTCTCTCCTTAGTACCTGCACAGCTTTCTTGTTGCACATTTAGATCCTTACTCATTGGAGCTTATTCCTGTGTGTGGTCCGAGGTAGGGACCTGATTTTATTTAGCTCCAAATGGCTATCCAGTCTTCTAACACTATTTCTTAAAAAGTCAATTTTCGCCAGGCAATGGTGGCACACGCCTTTAATCCCAGCACTCAGGAGGCAGAGGCAGGAGGATCTCTGTGAGTTCGAGGCCAGCCTGGTCTACAGAGTGAGATCCAGGACAGGCACCAAAGCTACACAGAGAAACCCTGTCTCCAAAAACAAACAAACAAACAAACAAAAAAGCCAGTTTTCATCAAGTAATTTTCATGTCTACTTTAATTTGCACAAAGCTGCATGTCTCTCTGAGCCTATTTTTGACTTGGGTGTGTGAAGTCCTTGGTCTGTCTGTCTGCATCACACTTGGCGTTATGGGGTTTTATGATAGACTATACCACCTGGAAGAATATACCATCCTCCCTCTAGTGCTTGAGTGTCTTGTTTATTTGTTTTTCAACATGAAATTCTCTCTCAGTCATCCACTTAGAAACTTGGTATATTTGTGGAAATTACTTTCATTTTATAAATTTATTTAGAGTGAACTGACAATTTTATGTTAGCTTGTTCTGTCAGGAAGTAAGAGCTCTTATTTGGTTAAGTCTTCATTTGTGCCTTTTCTGGAATGTTTTAAAGTTTTCCTCTGATGGGTTTTACACATTTCTTATTATGAAACTTGCATTTTTTCCACTTAATATTCTGCCGAGCAGGTCAGTACATGTTGACCTATTTTATTTTGTAAAATGGATCCAGGGTAGTCTGCCGTGCCCTAATTTAATTTAACTTTGCCTCTGTTGATGTATGCATGTTACTTTTAATTTTTCCCTCTTCCAAGTAGTTATAATTGGAATTGCTTATTCATAAACCATCTGGATTTGGGGGGTAATAAGCGCTGCCAAGTTATCCTCTCAAACCATTTGATGAAGTCATGCAAACTTTAGTGCATATGTACATTGTTACCAGATCTTCAAGCTTCTCTTTGAATGTGTTCACTAACATGGGTAATGTACAGTAGCAGGGGCGGGGGGTGGGGGTGCAGTTCAGTGACTCAGTGTGGGGGACCCTGCGGGGGCTCAGTCACCAGAGGACACAAATGATGAAGTCGCAGAGGCCACAGCTTCTACCTTAACTGACTGGACCACAGTCCTAGAAATGACATGTACAGACAAGTGAAAGTGTGAAGCGTTGTCCTGTAAGGAGACCTTGAGTTGAGCCCAAGAGGCAGTATGGCCGGGTCCAGTGACACACCTTCACGCCCGGCACTCAAGCGGCAGGAGCAGGTGGGTGTCTGAGATCAAAGCCAACTTGGACTGCACAGCAAGTCCCAGGTCCGCCAGGGGCTACATAATGAGACCTTGTTCTAATATCGTCCCCCTCCCAAGAACGTGCTGAAGTTAGTTTGGTGGGCTAGCGGCATAGGTTAAATTTACCTCACCTTGGCAGTGACAGTGACGTCCTAGACGAAAATGGTGTCTGGGTGCAGAGATAAGGACAGGGCAGCGGTTGACAGCTGGCTTTGAAGCACTTGAGGCATGGTTTCCTTGGCATCAGTCTTGTGGCAAGGTAACAAATCACCCTCAAATTCAGATTGGAGTTGACAGTCAGCACTGATTTTCTCTAGCAGTGTGCTGGGGTTGGGGGGGAGGGGCGGTTCGGGACTGGGGTCTCTTCTGATACCAAGTCAAAAATGTCAGGTTCCAGTCCTCATTCTGGGTTGGGCTGGAGGGTCCTCTTCCAGAGTGGTGCACTCTCTGGTGCTGGTGGCTTGTGGCGACCTCAGTTTCTCCCTGAGTCTCTCCGCAGAGAGGAGTAGACCTGGCAGCTTCTCCCCCAGATCGAGTGAGCCAGTGGAACAGGGCAGGGGCTGCAATGCCTTTGGACCTTCCTTTTGGAAGCGGTCCACTGTCACTCTCGCCACACTCTATTCCTTAGAAACGAGCTGTAAGTTCAACCCACGTTCGAGAGCAGGGGAACTAAGTTTCACATTTTCAAGAGGGGAATGTCGAAGAATCTGGGAACAGATTGTGAAACCTACACACTGTCCTGTCTGTTCTAAAAAGGGGGAGTGAGGCTAACATTTGGAAAGGGAAAAACATGCTCCTCTCCCACCCCATCCCCATAGTGTCTAAGGCAGATCAAGCTGGTCGTCGTCGTTGTCGTGGTGCTGAAGACAAATTGAAGTGAGATCTACCCAGTGTGGTGATCAAGCCACTGATGATGATAGATTCAGTGGAGGGCCCTGAGATTGGGGGAGAGGCGGGGCAGGATGATGAGCACAGGAGGAGAGAGACCAAGCATGTCAGAATGGGGAGTGGGGTGGGGGAGCCGATTCGGTTCTGAGAATTCAAGGGGAGATTCCTAAGGAGTGGAAAATGCACAGCCAAGACCCAGATTGAAACCTCTCACCAAAGAGACCCCACCTTGAGGGCCAGGCTGGGGGGTGCGGGGCTGTGGTTTGGAGAAGTGAGGACAAGAAGTGAGGCAGACAGACCTGCAGCATGAGGGGGAGGGAAGGAAGAGCTGCTTCCTGGTGGAAGGAGAGAACCTGGAGCCATCCAGAGCCCTCAGGTGCCGGGGTTGGAAGAGAGAGAGAGAGAGCGGTGTTGAGAACGAAAGCGTTTTGCCTGCAGGGTTGTGAAGGAGACGGCATTTTTAAGTGGAGTAGAACAACTTTGGAAATTGGATATCACATCTGCACAGATGCTCGATTTTTTTAGATTGCTCAAGATTGGGAGGACAAGTGGCTGGCATTCTGGAAGTTCCTTTCTTTGACCTTGACATCTTCTGTCTCCCTGATTCCTTTTAGAGCCTCCGTGCATCCCAGGGATGGTGTCCTCTACTGGAGGGTTTCTGCCTCACTTAACTTTCGGGAGCCTTTTAACTGTAAGTGAAATCTGTTTACCGTCTTACGTTTTCTTTTCTTTTTTTTTCCTTCCACTTCCTTCCTGCTCCTGGCTGTTCTCCACTCTTGTGGACATGTGTTTATTACATGTCGGCGTGCTCAGGTACGTGCACCACGGCACTCGTGGAGGTCAGAGAACAGCTTGTGGCCGTTGGTTCTCTCCTCCTCCTGAGTGAGTCAGATCGTGCTCCCAGCCATCTCACCATCTCACCAGCCCGGCTCTGCCTTTCCCCTCCCTCCTGGTGACTGCCTTTTTTAATGCCTGTATGCAAGACTGTCCTTTCTTTCTTAGCTCCCACGTTAAGCAGGATTCTCTTAAGTTTCTGCTAACTAAACTTGGAATTTATACATAACAAACAGGATTAAAATGACTGTCATGTAAATGGTAAATTGAGATCATACTTAATACTCTCCCATGCCTGTACATCTATATAATGCATAATCAGTTTTCACATTAGGAAGAGACTTTGTAGGTCTTCATATGGAACGTAGAATATTCTGAGATTTCAATAAAGATTTGAAGGTAAACGAAAGAAACAAGGACGTTTACAGATTAAACATCAAGATCCCCCTAAATTGTGTCTGCATTTCCTCTACTGTGTGGTGTAATGGTTATTTTCCTGTTGCTTTTCTTTCAAGAACAAGATTTTAGGTCTGCTAAATACCTAAGAGACACTAAACCAAAATGGTAATAATTACTATGGCTCCAAATGAAAGAGTTTTGTTTTGTTTGATGATGTCATCGTCTCTGTTGTTTCGAGTTAGAATCTTACGTAGCCCAGGTTGGCATGAACTCACTGTAGCTGAGGTTGGCCTTGCTGAACCTCATCCTCTTGTTTCCCATTTCCCGGGCGCTGGCTTTACAGGTGTGCACCATCATTCCTAAAGAGCGGTCTGTACACCCGGGCATGAAGGAACTGTTGTTGATAAGTCCCTTTTAAGACAAAACTGTCTGATTGTCGGATTGTGGCCAGTGTCATCTTGAAGTCAGTAGGGCAGCCTTACGGGAATGGATCTGGTATGGCAGCGTACGTGGGGGAAAGCATGGGAAGAGGTAGAAAGGGCCAGGAGTGAGAAGAAACCGCAGAAATGGAGGACCGAGAGACCCTCCTCTGTGTAGCCCAGGCGAGAAGCGACAGGGGGCATGGAAAGGCTGCAAACCGTGCTGACTGCAAACTGCAGGTAGTTCTTAGTTTTCCTTAAATAGACACCAAGCTTCTTCCATGTGTTCACGGTGTAAGAGAGAGAAAGGCAGAGAGAACAGGAACAGGAGTGTTCACCTCGGGAGATCTAAGTAGATTTATAAACATCCATCCTGCTGTACTTGGGCAGTTGACAACAAGTCTATAGTTAGTTGACTTTTTTTCTCCCTTTTCCTGTTACTTTTCTTTTTTTCTTGTCCTTGCTTCTTTTTCTATACATTTTCTCTTTGGATTTCAGCAGATGTAGAAACTTCTTAGATCATTTATTCCATTCCCAGTACCTACACTCTACACCTACACTCTCAGGAAATATTGTCACCCTCCAAGCCCCTCTGATTCCGGAATCTTCTGGAAAATACTCTTAGCACTGGGCTTCTAGGACGTCTGATATTAATATTCATTTGCAAATTTGATATCCAAACTGGTAGCTCCTTAGAAGAAAGGGGTAAGACTGACTTACTTGAGCAGCCTTACATGTAATATGTTAGTGAACAAGGGCATGCATGTTTTTTTCCTCCATGTGCACACAGCCAGAATAGCAGTGGCACTGAGGGCTGGAGATGTGTGACTGGAGAGCTAGAGTGCACATGATGTAAAGTGTCTGGGGTTGACTGAAGTTGAGTGACAGACTTGCTTAGCTGAAGTGTTCTGAGGCAGATGTGTCAGGGATGGTTTGGGAACCAGAAACTAGATGCAGTGCTGTGTAGTGACTACTTGCTGACTATCCTGGTCAGGTGTACACTGCATCCTCATGTCCATCCTGGTCAGGTGTACGCTGCATCCTCATGTCCATCCTGGTCAGGTGTACACTGCATCCTCATGCCCAGCCTGGTCAGGTGTACACTGCATCCTCATGTCCATCCTGGTCAGGTGTACACTGCATCCTCATGTCCAGCCTAGTCAGGTGTACATTGCATCCTCATGTCCAGCCTGGTCAGGTGTACACTGCATCCTCATGTCCATCCTGGTCAGGTATACACTGCATCCTCATGTCCATCCTGGTCAGGTGTACACTGCATCCTCATGCCCATCCTGGTCAGGTGTACGCTGCATCCTCATGTCCATCCTGGTCAGGTGTACACTGCAT